AAAACAAAAAATGAGATACTTGCAATTGGAGTAACAAATCTCATTTGTTACTCCAGAATCTTGCAATATTTAAATTCTTCCTTATATACTTGGAGTTATCTTTGACTCTCATAAAAAAATATTTTTGAGTTACCTTTGACTCTCATAAATTAATTTAATATTTTATTTTATGGTCAACAAAAAAATCTGCCCTTCTTAAGCGCGGGTCAAAATTAAATATTATTTTTATTGTTCAAAAATCATAGATGTAATTATTTTAACTAACATAAATAAACTATATAAGATGCGCGGGTCAAAACTGAATTTTATTTTTATTGTTCAAAAATCATAGATGTAATTATTTTAACTAACATAAATAATCTATATAAGAAGCGCGGGTCAAAATTGAATATTACTTTCAAAAAATCATAAATGTAATTATTTTAATAAACTATTTAATCCAAGCGCGGGTCAAAATGTAATATGTGTTTTAATTTTTCATACTCTCACAATACTTTTTTTTTTATTCTCTGTTCAACCACAAACTGACTCAGTTATGCAAAACTCAATAAAAAGATCATACTAAAACGTTAAATATACATCAAATTTCACATATAAAACTATCATATAATAAAAATAGAATCATTTGATACATTTTGTTACAACCAAAATAAAACCCGCGCTTCTCAAGCGCGGGTCAAAATCTAGTTTTTATTTATAATTGCACATAATAATTTCATATGCTTTCGTTTTTGTTCATTAATTTTTCAAATTTATTATTAACATTATTGGGTCTTGGTGGCTCTGATACCAGTTTTTTCTTACAACTCTAACTCTGTTTTTCGTATTTTTTTCATAATTTATTATCTAACATCGTTATAGTTCTATCTAATTTATTTAGTTTATGATTAATTTTTTGTAGCTCATATGAACTACTAATTAATTTTCTTCTTTCATTACAGGTTCTGTTTCTACTTATTCTTGATCCACTAGAGCTTGGTTCCAAGAATGTTAACTGTGGGATATATGTTTTATTTAGTTAATTACTTATATTTTTCTTTGGTATAAATTTAATAGTGATTGTTTCTTTAAACAGGTTTTCGAGATATATATCATTCTTATTGGAAAATTCAATACTATGTAAGGACGAAGATAAAGCGTATCCAACAACATACGTAATAGATAGCGGATGATCTCGGTCTTCCACAAGATCATGTCTTTGGAAATCGTAGATAATTCCAATCGAGTTGTTAAGTTTTTTTGTTGTTAATGGAATGCAATATTGACAGACCACATTAAATTTAACAACTGAGTGTTTTAAATTGTTATCTACTATTCCAACTATTTTTTCATTTTCGTCTTGAATTCTATTGCCAGTTACTACTAATCCGATTTGGGAATCGATGTTCTTTTTAAATGTTGATCTTACTATTATTTGGATTGTTTCTATGTGTATATATGATATTTATTCTTGATGACTTGGACTCTTTTACTTATTTTTTATTTATGGCCTCAGATGAAATTAGTGGTAATGTGAATTCACCACGAGTTGATTCAATTGGTAAAGGAATTTTTCGTACAAATTTCCCGAAATATAATACATTTTTTTCTTTCTAATATTTCTGATAAATCTATTTCTGTGTACATCTTGATCTTCTTTTAATGTTATTTTTGCTTCTTTTTTCAAGGTTCTTGATCTTTGATCCTTGGATTAATATATCTTTTTAAAAGAAATTATTTGTATCAATACTACTAATGTAATCTAATAAGTTATTTTGTACCATGTTCTGAGCTTCTTCGTTATCGGACATACCTGAAATAGATTATAGTTGATTTTTTGTTGGTGGTAATGATCGCCTGAATTGGTTGAACTTTTTTAATTCTTGGTTGAACTTTTTTAATTCTTGGGTGTTTTTTAATTTGTGTTTATGAGTTTTTGTCGAGTGAAAAACTGTTATTCACAAGGTTGAAACTTTCAACAGTTAGAGCTCTTCAAAGAAAAATTCTCAACTCTTTAAACGAAACTTGTTTGCAATTATTTCAGTCTGCCTCTACAAGAGAGGTTTGCACACATATTTATATTACATGACAGACTCTTTTACTTAGACGCGTGGCTCATTTTCTGTCCAATCTTACAAAGATAATAATGTGGAATCCTATTCATCCACTTTATTTATTTCCGAGTTTACATCTTCACGTGGTTTCTCCGGATATCAGATCTTGTTGGGTGATTCTTCCATTATTGGTTATTCAGTCTCTTCAATCACTTCATCTTCTGATTCTTCATCTCTGTTTCCGCAAATCGCACATGAATGTGGTTCTCTAAGCTTGACTTCAAACTGTGTTTTTCTGAGAAATTTACACATTAAATAATGATATCTTGGACATTTAATAAAAGTGTTGTCCCATATCCTGAAAACGAACGGGCCTGTGTCTTCTTTATTGTTGTTTCTTTGGTTGCTCTGGTGAGTAATAACGTCGAATCACTTTTATAATTAAGGCGGTGATTGTTTCGTAAGTGAAGAATTTTCCTGAGCATTTCGATTGTTAGCTCGGCATCTACTCGAATTCTGTCTTCGCTGGTGTATTCAACATTTTATGGGTCGTCCGTTGTTGGGTATTGTCCATCGCTTATTCCCATGATAATTACTTTTGATGTCGGACAACTGACTCATGTTTCTCATGTTTCTGTTACTTGAAACTTCAGATAATTGTTGTAATACTGCATAAATACTTCTTTATTTTTGGCATATCAGGTAAAGTACCGGGAAACAGCTGTTTTAAGGCCTTGGGAAAAATATTTTAGTTGTTGTTCAGGATTTTGGATGTATAGTGTTTCAATAAGTCCTTAGTTGTGTAGGTTTATGGTGGTTATTGGGCTTACTTCCGGTAGGACAATAGCTTTTGGGCCTAGACCCTGATGGTTTTTTGGGTAGATGTGTTTGTATTTGGTATTTTATGGGTAGGTATTTATTTCCTCAAAATTTTTGATAATTATTTTAAGGGTAGGTTTTATTTGGTCTTGTACCTCCTTTGTTCCAGTAATTCTTGTGATGGTTGGGATTTTTTCCAATGTGTCATTTTTATTGTTGGTTGCATATTTCTTCTCCCCCGCAGAGAAGTAGGCGATCCTTGAATGAATTTTCGATCGATTTATTTTTTTTGCTTAATTACTCGAGGGCTTGCTTTGCTTCGTCGATTGTTGGGTAGCTCTTGTGAATAATGTTTCTGCCTGTTATGAACTGGGCTGCTTTGTGCCATTCTTCATAGATTTCTCTTATGCGTCCGTTAAAGATGACATAGAATTTGTGGGGATTTTTAGTGACTGGGTTTTTAGATGAATTTTCTGGTAAGATTATAGTTTCTGTGTTTTGGGTTTGGCTTTTAGGTTTTATCTCATATTGCATATTTCTATATTATTTAATATATATCTCACTTTTTCTATTTGTTCTACGTCTTCCTTAGTTTGTTCTTTTCCTAGTAAATTTATTCTAATTAAGAAATGTGTATTTAATTGTTCGGCTACAAAGACAAGGATTTGTTGATGGTCTCTAAATTTTTTTAATTGCATTATATTAGCATCCTTCATTCCAGCATGCAAGGTATGTAAATACAATTCCGCTAGTGTTATATATCAAGAGATCTAAATAATTTATGGGGTTCGTTTTTTGAATCGTTTCGTTTAATTGTAGTTGCATTTCTTGCTCAGAGACCCAAGTATGTAATCTGATTTTTTCTTCTTGGTGATTAACACAATCAAGATCCAACAAGTCGTTATATTTTACAGGTTTTGAATTAAATTGTTGATATTTTTCCGAGTGTTCCTGTTTTGAATCTATAATATCTTCGTTTATTTTTGTAACTATCGTCAATGTTTATGTTTGTTTTTTATCAATAATTTATTTTTTAATTGTTCCTTCTTTTTCTACATGGTTTAGAAAAAGAACAGTTGGTTCTTCTTTTGATGAAAAAGGTGATCAGTTATCATTCCGTTTTCTTCAGGTTGTTGAGGGTTATCGATTAAAGTAATATTTTTAGCTGTCCTCTTAGTTCTTCTATGTGTTCTTCCATTATTTTTTGATATCGTCTCCCCATCTTTTTGTATTATAAAAGAATCAAATAATACAAGAAAAATAGAAATTCAAATATTTGTATTATAAAAGAAAACTAGAAATTCCCTAAAATAAGAATTTTTATTATAAATATAACAAACACTGACCAAAATGTTTTATCAAAAGATAAATAGATATTATATACTTAAGATTAACTAATTTAAACTTAAGAGCTTAAATTCGAGGGATGAAATTTTGGAAGATTAGTTTTAGGATATAAAAACTAAATCATTTAACATTTTGATTTATTTTTTAAAAAAGTTTAAATAGTTTCAACTTTTTTGAATTTCAAAATAAAAATTTGAAAATGAAACTGAGAAAAATGTTCGAACAAAGAAAATATAAATAGAAAAATTTCCTTGGATAGTTTTTTTTTTAATTTAACTTTGCAAAATAACATTCAAAAAAGAAAATGATCAAAATAAATTTTGATTAAATGGTAAATATGTACTTATACCCTTAGACTAATCTAGATTTTGGGTTTAGAGTTAAGAGGTGTACTTATACCCTTAGACTAATCTAGATTTTGGGTTTAGAGTTAAGAGGTGGGGTTTTGGGTTTCAAAATTTCAAAACTAAAAAACAAATATTACAAATTTCAAAATAAAAAAGATTATTTTGGTCATTTTATTTTTGAGGTGACAAAAATTTAAAAGGGTTATTCAAGAGAATCACCCCAAAAATATATAAAAATTGAATTGAAAAATGTATTATTCAAAAACAATAATAATAAAAAATTATTTATATTTTTTTACTATTACATAATCATTTATTTTATATATATTTTCAAGTAAGACTAGAAATTCTTTTTATCCTTTTTATCCTTTTCTTCATTTTCTGCTCTGAAAAGAACTCATGTGTAAATTGGGAAATGCTTTGAAAGCCAATTTTCAAAAAAAAAAAAAAAAAATTGGGAAATGCAAAATCATTCATATATAAATTGCTAAACCGGTAAAACACTAAACCGGGATAAAGTAAAAGGTACGTCACTGTATCTTCCCATATTAGCCAACAAACTCACCAGAGAAACAAAACAAAATCACTTTTAAGAGTTCAGAATCCCAAACAATCGAAAAAAACACAATCTCTCTCTCCCTCTCTCTCTCCTACAATGAGTGATCCAAATCATATCCCCGCATCCACAACCCGACCCGTAGGAGGCACCGAATACAGCTGGTGCAGAGCCATCTCAGGCGGCACAGGCATCGCCGTCATCTCTCTCTTACTCTCCCGAACCCCAAAACTCGAAAATCTCCAAAACACCCTCGACAAACTCCAAAATTACCACCCCACCCTCCGCTCCACCTTCCGTTACGACTCCTCCACCAACTCCTTCTCCCTCGCAACCCCCGCCGACTCCCGCGTCCAAATCCTCCCCTTCGATCCATCCTCAACGGCTCAGATCATCCGAGACAGCCACGATCCCCGCGCCGAGCCGCACAGGATCATCTTAGAACACGAGCTTAATAAAAACACGTGGATCGATCCGCACCGTTGGATCAACGACGAGTGCGGAGTCTTCTTCGTCAGTCTCTACGATCTTAACGGAGAGGAGAGAGTGCTGTCGTTTCGGTTGAACACGGGAGCGTGCGATCGGACTTCGGCGGTTACGCTTCTGAGGGAGTTTATGAGAGAGACGACGGTTGGGGAGAGGGATGGACACGTGGCGGAGGAGGAGGGGTTGGGTAAGGCGATTGAGGAGATGGTTCCGAGTGGGAAAGGGGATAAACCGTTTTGGGCGCGTGGGATCGACGTGTTGGGGTATTCGCTGAACGCGTTTCGGTTTTCGAATTTGAGTTTTGTTGACGTGGAGGAACCGAACCGGAGATCGCAGGTTGTGAGGATGAAACTGGAAAGAGATCAGACACTTAAACTTGTGGCTGTAAGTGTCTTTCTTGTTTAAGAAACTTCTATAATTGCGTGCAAGATTTGTTTATTATTATTGCGTGTTAACTGTTAAGCATATAGTATTAGTAGTATATATACTTTACTATTAATTTATTTAAATAAAGCTTTTATAACCATTTATATATTTTTTTTCGCTTTTTCAAGATTAATAGTATAAAACATAAGAATAAATGCAAATGTTATAGATATATTCTGAAACAAAAAATATTAAGATTAAAAGATTAAGACTAAAACTAATCAGCTTTATATATGAACATTAATCTCATCCTAGATGCTCAAAATAAAAAAATCAAATAGAAAACACATGAAAGTTTTTATTTTTAGTGGAAAAGATTGTATAGTTTTTTATGTGTTCCAAAAAAAAGTATAGATGTTTAGATAATATTTCTCGTTTTTGACATTTATTATTATGTTTATGTTAATTTACATAGAGAAAAGATAAACCTTGGGAGCAAGAAAAACATATAATTTGGCATCATGACAAGCAAGTTAGTTAATGTTTGTTAACAATTTACACGAAATCATCACATTGTATTGTATGCATACGTGTGATTTTGCAACACAGTAATACTAAGATGATCTTGGTTTGTGCTGGAACATTGAATCACGTACGCTGTTGCAGGGATGCAAGGCAAGAGGGATAAAACTATGGGCTGCAATAGCAGCAGCGGCGATGATCTCTGCGTACTCTTCTAAGAAGTTAACGCAAGACCAAGGAGAGAAATACGCAGTGGTGACTCTGTCGGACTGTCGTGCCATACTTGAACCTCCTCTTACTCCCAATGACTTTGGTAAAGCCCAAATCTTTGCCATTACAATGACAATTTCTACTTGTTTATATGTCTATATGATGAGTGTATTGAGGTATAGATTCATAGTTCTTTTCATGGTTGCAACAGGTTTGCCATGAGCCAATGCCTTAAATAAACTAGTTATCTAATGCATGATAATGTTCAAGATCCCGTTTGATTTGATATATATTTTGTTCTTGTTTTTAAGGTTTCTACCACACAGGGATACTTCACACACACGACATATCAGGAGATGAAAAGCTCTGGGACTTAGCCAAGAGATGCTACGACTCCTTCACATCAGCAAAGAACTCCAACAAGCATTTCACAGACATGTCAGATCTCAATTTCCTAATGTGCAAGGCCATAGAGAACCCTAACCTCACTCCTTCATCCTCTCTAAGAACCGCTCTCATCTCCATATTCGAAGATCCAGTGACAGACGAGTATTCAGAACAAGCATTGGCCTCTGCTGGGGTTAAGGACTACATAGGCTGCGCGTCAATCCACGGTGTTGGACCGTCCATTGCGGTTTTCGACTCGATTAGAGATGGAAAATTTGACTGTTCGTTTGTGTATCCGTCGCCGTTGCATTCGAGAGAGCAGATGGGTGGTGTGATTCGACATATGAAAGCTATTCTTTTGGAAGGATCTGTTTCTTCCTTTTGATTTGTTTCGAAAACTCTTTGTTATGTCACGTCCAAAGACAGAGATAGTCTTCTCTATTTAAATAAATATTACCCGTTACCACATTTCAAAAGCATACCATTGTTATCGCTTACGTTTGACCCATCTTCTTGGTAGTCGCCTCCACAAATAATCATGACTTCTAATTTGTAAAGACTGTTGTCTAAGTGAAATAGATAACTCTTTTGTTGTATTGACCTTTGTTGTCGAATTTAACTGTCAAAATCATTAAAAAAAAACTGTCAAAAAGATGGAATACAGTTTTCATATGGAAACTGTTTTATTTGTTGAAATGTCAAAGACTAACCTTAACTTGTCCTCCAAGGGAACCAAAAGGTTTCGTGAATTAAATTGTTTGTTACTCTTATCATTACTCAGATGTTAAAAATAGTTTTCTTTTTAACTTTTTAGATTAGAAAAATAAGGTGAAACTTGATAATTTTTTTCGAGAAACTTGGGGGAGATGGAAAAAGTTGCACTATTTTATTTTAGTGGAATCAACGAATATGACGGATGATAGTTTACGATGAGCGGTAAAAAAGGCTTACGGAATGGCTGAAAGAGATCAATAGCGCAACACAACAAACCTCAAACTATTTTTAGATAACAAGACTTTGCCACAAATCCTAACTTAATTTACTTCCCTAGCAATCTTCATTTTGAATTGTGCTCGAAGCATTTATTCTTTTACACGGAAAGAAAAAAAGAATCAAAAAGGTGAAGTGTGAAAATGGCAACGGATGGGACTCCTTTTCCAGAAGGCGACGCAGAAGCTGAGCTCAATCCTGGACAGAACAAGAGTTTTGAAGTAGATCCTGTTTCTTCAGAGATCGCTTCTGAAAAGGTATAAAATATTACCACCTTTTATACGTAATACGTATGTGTGAGTTAACAAAACTATGAGATAGGTTCCATCTGTATACGCTCTTAATGGAGGAAAACAAATGGAGACAAATCTAGCTAGCTAAGTGCATCCACATAGGGATAGTATCTCACATGAGTTTCTCTTTTTTTTTTTTTTTTGATCAAACTTACATGAGTTTCTCATATTTTTGAATACAACTGAATTATTGAAATTATTTTTATTGATTTTAAGAAACGAAACCACTTATCTCAATTAATTCGTCAGTTCCTGACGAATCTTAATCTGAAAAGGTTATAACAAATTCAAAATAATATAAACTGAAATGGGTATCCATGCATACATGAGTTTATGTAAACAATATTTTCTTATGTTTGTTGTGTTTAAAGATGGTGGAAAAGATACAAAAAAACTTGGAAAGGAAGGAAAACGCAAAAGCAAGGAGAGACGCAACGCAAACGCTGAAGAAGACGATTATCATATCAGCGGTGATCGTGGCCGTAGCTGGAGCCGCCTTCGCTATCACCAAAAAGATGAAGGAGAAATGATTTTTGATTACATAAGTTAATCCTCAATTTTTCCTTTTTAATATGTAACTATTACTGTTTTTTCTCACGAAACTAAGAGAATACATCTATAATTTTATATACACATAATATTTGTTTTTTGTCATATGTAATTTTTATAATTCAATAATGTAACAAAGTATATTAAATAATATGATTTGTCTTCTTTAAACCGATCATAAAACTATATTTTTGGGATAATCGTTTAGTAAATGTTAATAAGTTGATATAATATTTCCGTAAAGTCTCAGTCCTGATTCAAAACTTTTGTGATGAATTTTTTGGCAGCCAAAATCCGACATAAGCCAATGTTGTGACTGTAATACCCGCAGGATTGCACTGTCATATGTTGAGTGCTGGACCTTGTACACATGCAGCCCTATAGTGCCCCAGTTGCTCTCCGTCCAAACCGGATCAACCATCTCCATAGAATCCGATGTGTTTTGAGGCAGAATTGTCCACGCTCCATTGTCATAGCGCAACCGGGTTGAGCATGAATACTTGCCATTATCAGGACTTCATATGTGTTACGACATAGAGATCGGATAGGTTTTTTTTTTTAGGAATATAACGCACAACCTGGTTATGAAGGACCCCGCATGTTCCTTTTGAACAAACCGAGGTTTTTTTTTCTGAGCCAGAAAGTCCCTTATGAATATAGAAACATCACTGACGTAACCAAGGAAAAGTTTGGAGGAAGGTTATCCACGGATGAAGCCAGCATAGTTGCATGGGCATAGTGTTTGTTGGTGAAATAAAATCTTTCCCCAAGTAGCTTGATTTCACAAGATAAAAAGACAGGCCCATCGATCTATCTTATACATTCTTGGAAAGTTACTTTCCCTTTCAAACAGCCATCTATATATTCTTGGAAAGCATATTGTATCTTTTTCATGAATGCCATCAAGGATGATATGAATATAATGGAGGTATTCCATTCCAGGGCATTTTGTACCTTTTTCACTGGATGTTCTTTGATGTAAGTGAATCCTGAGCTTTCTTTGATGTTCCTAACCTTTAAAAAAAAATTCTTATAAGTAAAATGAATGCCAAAAAATTTAATCTACAAAGTCGGGGTAAGTTTCTGAGCCTTGCACATAGAATTGGACGGACTTATTTGGACAATGACTTACCTATGGGAAAAAAGGTTCTTTAGAATATCCGCATCAAAATGGATTTCTTGGGATTTATTTCTGATGATCAACAAACCTGGGATTTGACCAGCATTTAAAACAGAGATATAGTACAATTATATAGTAGTATTAGAGAATTATTTGAGACAACTACACCATAAGTCTTATCTCTCGAGCCCAAAACGTCTATGCTGATTTCCTTGTTAAAAAAATGTGAGAATTTGTTTGATAGTTACTAAAAATCTCAGTCGTATAAATGTGAGGGTGTTATTGGTTAATGTATTTTGATTGATTTAGAAATCTGTATAGAATTTATAAATCTTAACAAAATATACTGATTTCCAAATCTAATATGTGAATTTTAATAAGTACTTACAAATCTGAGGGTTTTCCTTCGGATTTTAGTCCTTGTATTTTTAACAAAGAAATCCACACAAATAAATAATAAAAACAAATTATGTTGTAGAAGTAGTGTTTTGTCGGCTTATATTTTTTTATAAATAAAATTCCCTAAATAAAATGTGGAAAAAAAGAGGAACTTAAAAACAAAAAGGGTTCACTTCTATTTTCAACGGACCGAGCTGCGAGAAACACACTTCTTCCTCCTCCTCTCTCCCTAACAATTATTTAAATTAGGGTTTTCTTCCGGCACCCGTCTCTCTCTCTCTCTCGAGCCTAGTTCCAGGTACTTACTTTCTCTCATTGCGCCTCAAATTCGTCTCCTATTCTCTCTCTATATTGAAACTCGGATCTGGAGCTCATCTTATCTGAAACTTTTAAAAGTGATTCTCAGTTTTCTTTCCAATGATTGCTATGAAGCTTAAACGCATCACTTTGATTTCAATAGTTAATTTAACTTTCTCCTGTTTTGTCTGATTGATATTTGGAGAAAAAGAAACATTGTGTGGTCTTTTTCATGTATATGTCTGAATAGAATTTGTAGTTATAAGTTCTGAGCCTTCTCTTTAACAGGTTATATATATTAAAAAAAAAACCTCACTTGAACAATGTGTGTTGGGGAGATCTTAAACAACGGAGCTGGAGTTTTTTTTTTTTATTTCTTTCTAAGTCCTAATAACATTGGTATAAACTTATCAGCTTTCATTTTCATACCTTTCTTTCTCAAAGTTTCGATTTTTGTTTTCTCATTGCCACCTCTTTCTCTCTTACTCTCTGTTGTTTGATTTTACTTTCTTTGGTACTATTCCTCTTTTTTTTTAAGCCATTATTGATGGCAGAGTCTCTTGTTCTTCTTTTCTTTCGTCTTCTTACTGTTTCTTTTCAAACCTTTTCCCTCGTTTCTATTCTCTTTCCCCCACATTCTCTTCCACAGTTTCACCACCGCTTTTCTAGACTCTTACCATGTCGAGGAGGACGATGGAATCTGAGGAAAGGGTAGACATTGATCCCGAGGAGACTCTTGAGGAGGAGTATGAGTATGAAGAAGTTGAAGAAGAGGAAGAGGTTGAAGAGGAGATTGAAGAAGAAGTTGAAGTTGAAGTAGAAGTGGACGATGACGAAGAAGAAGAACAAGAAGAAGAGAAGAAAAAACATGATGAACTCTTAGCTCTTCCTCCTCATGGCTCTGAGGTTTATCTTGGTGGGATTCCTACTGATGCTTCTGAAGGAGACTTGAAGAGATTCTGTGAGAAAATTGGCGAAGTTACTGAGGTAATATAATAAGTCTCTTACATTTGTTTCTTAACTCAAAAGTATGTATTATCTCGTTATTGAGGTTTGTGTGATGTTTTAACAGGTTAGGATAATGAGGGAAAAGGAGTCTGGTGATGGTAAAGGGTATGCATTTGTAACATTCAGAAACAAGGATTTAGCATTTGAAGCTATTGATAATCTAAATAACACTGACTTCAAGGTTATTAACTCTTTGTCTTATCTATTTCTTGGAGTTAACCTTCTGCTGCTTTCAAACCGTTTTGGCTTAGTTGAGTTGGTGTCTCACTTAAACTTCTGTTTACTTATTGTGATTCAATAGGGTAAAAGGATAAAATGTTCGACTACGCAAGCAAAGCATCGTCTCTTTCTTGGCAACGTTCCTAGAAGCTGGACAGAGTCAGACATTAAGAAAACAGCAAGTGGAGTTGGTCCAGGCGTTCAAAATGTCGAACTCCCTAAGGTTTTTTGTCTCTTCCCCAAATGTTTTTGTTGAAGGTTTAAGATATACCTTTCTTATTTACTAAATCACTTTCCATCTAAACTTTGTTAAAAATCACAGGATCCACAAAATATTGGGAGGAATCGTGGATATGCGTTCATAGAGTATTACAACCATGCATGTGCTGAATACTCGAAACAAAAGATGTCAGATCCGAGTTTTATGCTTGATGATAATGCTCCCACTGTTAACTGGGCTGAGTCAAGGAATGGAGGAGGAGGAGGAGACGCTTCTGCCACGCAGGTTGGCTTCTTTAAAATCTTATAAACAAATAACAGAAGCAGCAGCATTTATCTTACCAAGAACATGTGTGGAATGAATTACAGGTAAAGGCATTGTACATCAAGAACTTGCCTAGAGATATAACACAAGAGCGTCTAAAGGCATTATTCGAACATCATGGTAAAATCCTTAAAGTGGTCATACCACCAGCAAAGCCAGGGAAAGAAGACAGTAGATATGGTTTTGTGCACTATGCAGAGAGGACAAGCGTCATGAAAGCTTTGAAAAACACTGAAAGTTATGAGATTGATGGTATGGGTTCATTCATTCATAATCATCTTACTTTCATGTTTTTTTGTACATTTCAATACTTGAATGTAATTGTATATGCATGTTGTTGTTCTACACAGGTCACACGTTGGATTGTACACTTGCAAAGCCCCAAGCAGATCAAAAGACGAATAATACAACAACATCTCAGAACATGCAGAACTCACTATTGCAACCAAACTATCCTCCTCTTCTTGGTTATGGCATGGCTCCTAGTCCTTTTGGTGCTCTTGGTGGTTTTGGTGCTTCTGCTTATCCACAAGTGAGATTCATTGGCTCACATTTCTTTCTTTATAATATAACCTGAGTCTTAACTTTTTGTGTGGGGATTATGCAGCCGTTCATGCATGCGGGAGGTCACGCAGCTGGTGGGATGGCGATGATGCCAATCATGTTACCTGATGGAAGAATTGGTTATGTCTTGTAAGTCTCTGTTTATACACATTGTGTAGTAATCTCATGCGTTTGGTATTAGAACATGTTTACTGATATGATGTGTTGACCATGATAGACAACAGCCTGGACTAGCAGCAGTGCCACAACCTCCACCAAGGCATTCACCACCGTATAGAGGAAGCGGTTCCAGCAGCAGCAGCAGCAAAAGAAGTAGCAGTGACAATGGTAGAGGACGAAGCCGTTACAATCCTTATTAGTGGGTTTCATCTTTCTCTTTTCTTTATTTTTGAGAAAACACCCCCTCACTCAACTCTCCAAACCAAAAAGTCATTTTTAAGCATTATGTTTTTTTCCTCCTCTTCTTTCTGTTTACAAGTGCTTTTGTAATATTATTTGTTTATTTATGTTACAATCTTTTCAAATTATCTTCACGATTATTTTCAGAAGATGAAACGTAATGATTAATCAATATGGTTTTACTTTACTTGCTTGTTTTCCATGAAGTACTGATAACATCAATGCCAAACTAATCCATTAGTATCTCAAAAACCCTTAAATAAATTAGTAAGCTTTTACATGTTCCTTTTCTGGTTTTCTATGACGTATTCACCTTGAACATTTGACATACCGGGACAAAGAATCCATTGGTAACCTTCCTAGTCTGATGTCACTCACAGAATTCAATTAATTGTTTTAATTTTAATTGGTTGATGACTTTTTCATTTATATCTATTTTTAAATGGAAAAATTGTTTTTAGGCAAAAAAATGGTAACATTGTCTCTTTAGTCTAATTTCTATTTTATACCTTTTTATTCTAATGTCCTTTAGTATTTTCAAAAATAAATTAAATAAGTAGTTTTACAAACAAACAAAAAATCAGAAAATAGTAACTATTTAGGAAACACCTATATCAATTTAGTGATATCTTTTTCAGGTTCTAAAATGTATAAATCATTTTTTTAAATTATGTTTCTACATAGAACTGACATTTTACAAAGTAAAAAATGAAATCCACTATTTTTCATTGAATTTACTATGCTTAGAATACGTAATCTACATAAATAGAAGTATTCTAAAAATATTTAGAATACACATTCCGCGCTTACATTGTCCCTTTAAAGTCAGTAGAAAACAGAATTCACACATGACTATAAAATCTAAAATAGGTAGAAATCAGAATCTACACATTATTATAAATATAAAACCCGTAAAACTTAATTTCAAACATTATCATTGTATTCTACATATAGTAGAATACACATGCTACGGATAAGAATATTCAGTTCCGAAAATAAGAAAATATTTTGAAATATTCAATTTCCATAAATAAAAATCGATTTTCATTTTAAAAATGTGCTTTGGGATCGACTGTACGGATCGACCAACTGTTTTGGGGATCGATCGATCTTGTTGGGTGGAGCAGTTTCTACTTTTTTGTTTTTTTTTTCCGACTTGAGAATTTTTTTTCACGATTTTTTATTTGGAATTAAGGGCATTATTTCCATTTAGAAAATATTTAGACTAATGAGACATAAAATATATGAGATTAGCCTAAAGGGACAATGTTACAATTTTTTTGGTCTAAAAAATGATTTTCCCTTATTTAATTTAGTTTTTGAAAAAAACTAAATCAAGAATTAGTTTAGACCAATAACCAAACAAAACATATTTACCAATAAAAAATATCACAAATGTGCATTTAAGTAAATTATGTCATTAATGCTCGAATTTGTTTCATAAATGATTTTGTGCATTTAAGAAAATATATGTTTTAAGAAAAGAGAGATTTAAAAAAGAAATCTCTTTAATATTTATAGATAATAAAAAAATACTAGTTAGTAATTTTATTACTTGTGTATTATAATAGATAATAAGATACAATTTATATATATATATATAATCTAATCTAATTTAAAGTAAAATAAATGTAATTTTAGATTAAAAATATATTTAATACTTTTCATTAACAAATCTATAAATTCAATATCTATCTATATTACTATTTGAGAAGTAAATTTTCTGATGTGTCATCTTCTCCATAATTTTAGGTTATGTTGTTTTTATGTTATATTCTTATAATTTTGGATAATGATTAATTATTTTTCTTAATGAATAACGAGATTTATTATTATTTAATTAACCATAAACTAAAACGAATTAATATAGAATTAACCATAAAGTAGACACTTTTTTTGATGATTATCATTATCTAAAAATAGTTTTGTATTAATTAACCATAAACTAAAATTGAGTTAATATATAAGTAACCATAATTTAATTATTTTATTAAACTATTATTTCAAAAGTTAATTTGATAATATCATATTCTCCATAATTTTAAGTAATTTTGCATATCTGTTATGTTTTAACGATTTTGGCTAATGATTAATTACAACCCTTAATGAATAATTAAATTTATTAATATATATATAACCATAAAGTAAAAATATACTAATATATAATTAATTTATGACAAAAAATAATATATAATTTATTTTAAAAAGAAACAAATTTCATTAATTTGATGATTATAATTATCTAAAAATAATTTATAGTAAATAACTATAAACAAAAATTGAATTGATATATAACTAATCATAAATTAAAAATGAACTTCCTTGATTTTAATTATCATTATCTAAAAGTAAGTTATATTATGTTATAAAGTTTTTAATAACTTAATGAATAGTTATATTTGTTAACATATCATTAACCATAAATTAAAAACAAATTTCATTGATTTTTATAACTATCATTATATTAAAATAGTTTATGTTGTGTTATTAAAAAATGATTTTGACATTAGAACTTTGTAAGAAGTTTTAAATTATAAAAGATAAGTTCCTATATTTTGTATATATTAATGTTTTGAAATTTATTTACAGGATATTAATAATTCTATTATATTAAAAAAAATCATATTTAAAAAGTAATAATTAATTTGTTACAAAATATTTCAAAAGCATTAGTGTTTTAAGATTATGTTATGTCACATAAACTTGTCTATGTAATTTTTTATTAAATATTTTGAATGTAGGAACAATAACTTATTTTAATTGCATTTGAATTGATAATATATTTATATTAAAATATTTATAAAAGTATTATGTCTGAATATGTAGATAAAACATCTAGTTTAATGTAAATATTGGTAATTATTTCACATTTTAAATTAATTGTGTAAGAAAAAATATTTAAAATATTTGTTCCTATGTTATACAGATAATTCAATAAGCATCTCTTTTTTTATTAGGAGACATAGCTGAGTGGAGTAAAGCCTTGGATTGCTAATCCACTGTACGAGATAATCATATTGAGGATTTGAATCTCTATTCTTTCCCTTCCGCTTTTTGATGATGTAAAATAGATAAGTCTACTAAAATTTACCAGCATATTCAATCCGATTTCTGAGTGGGGTAGTTGACAATTGAATCAACTTTTTCCAAAATATAAAATACAGTTTGTAATTAATAATTTTCGCTAGTTGTGCATTGTATAGATGATGATATACAAAACATGTATATATTATTTAGTATTAAAATAAATGTTTAAATAGTTTTAGATATCAAAAACAAATTGAAGTTACTTTTCATCAACAAACTGGTGAAAACTATATTAATTGTAAAAAAATTAAATTATTTTATACATGTTCAAAAATAATCTGTTTAAGAAAATTAAAAAAAAATTCTTTCGCATGTTATATAAATAACTAAAAATAAATAAAATTACTATCTAAAGGTTTTTGTTATTTGTGCATCTTATATAGAATGATATACGTAAAAAATATGAGTAATTATTTAAACTTGACAACCAAATAAACAAGTTAAAAGAATGACTGAATTTGAAATAATTTTTTTATTCAATTGGTTAGCAACTTATATGTATTTTGATATTGAAAGAAAAAAAATGAATTTTAATAAATTATAATTTTAGTTACCAAAAACAATACAAAAAATTTCAAAAATTTTAATAGATTATTTAGTCTAAGTATATAATATATTGTCAAATATACACTATAATAAACTAAAAAAAATTAAAATATAGGGGAAAAAACCCGGGCGTAGCCCGGGAAAGTCTCTAGTTTAATTAAAAATTATTCATAATGTCTTTTAAAATTTTTTTTGCTTGTTATTTTTATCAAAATTTTGCATGTTTGGCATTATATAATTCACATAGTGTATACTCTAACCTATATTTCTGATGTAACTATTTTTTTATTCCAGTAATTAGTCATAATGTCTTTAAACTTTTTTTTTGCTTGGTTATTTTTATAAAATTTTGCATGTTTGGCATTATATAATTCACATAGTGTATACTCTAACCTATATTTATGATGTAACAAATTTTTTATTTCAGTAATTATTCATGTACATATCTTATTTAGAAAATATTATTTGTGATATTGTGTATACATTATTTTGAGAAAATTATATTGGATTTATAAATGTAATGTAATATTAATTGAATGATATTTAGAAATCAAATACAGTAGTTATTCGGAAATGACATTTGAAGCATACATTAATTATTTTTACTATAGTTTTTTATGAAAATCTAATAAAATACTAAAATCATAATTTATATTTTAAAAAGTTATAAAATAATCAAAATAAACATATATAAATTTATGTATTTAGAATATATGTAACTAATAAACTTCACATTCGGTATTATAAATATATTATAACATGTCAAAACATTATAAATATTAAATTAATTTTTTTTAACTATTTGTATTCGCGAATTTGCGGATAAAAACCACCTAGTATATATTAGTTATCACTTATCACATCAGAATTCAACTTTTGGAAACAACTGTCTGAAAGGTCCTGCATCTTGCAATGGTCAGAGAGATGGGATATCAAATAACCAGATGTGATCGTGTGAACATTTTTATTCATGGAGACTTACCCTGGCATTCTGCGAGATTGAAGGCCCTACACATTTGAGTTAGTATGTATATATATGGGTAAACTAAGGCTCAGAGTTTGGTTCTTTTCTAATTAGTTTGGGTTGTATGTATCATCGTGACTCCTCTCTTTTTGTTTATCAGCAATGAATAATGTGTGTTGTTTCTATGTGTAACTGTCATGGTTCTTATGGAAAATGATAAAAAAAATTCTAAAATTTTCTTGCATCTCTTTGTGACAAGTTCAGAATGAATTATATGGATCATATGAGCTACTTTTTGGCATTCATGCTCAGTTTACATCTACTGATATATTTTTGAATCAAGAAAAACATGATATGGATCTTCCCTAAGCTGCATTAATGATGGATAATTCTCCTATGCATGCACCATCATCCATTCTCTCTTCAGATTCAGACTCAAAGAGCCTTTTTTTTTCTTTTTCAATGAGCCTATTTAACTATGAGATCCATTGGTATCTCGACATTGATTCCTTTCATGGTTGGGATTTGGGAAACAAATAATCCACATTTTTGTTGTCATCATCATC